GGGGAAGGGGGGGAGGCGCCCTGAGGTGCTACCAGCCAGTGAGCAGCAAGGCCAGGGCTGAATCCTGAGCCCCCGCTCTGCACTCTAGTTTGCAGACAGGAGTCACACCATCTGGAGGAGGCCGGCAGAAAGGGCATGTACTCCCAGGCCCAGTCCCACTTCCTCACACCTGGTCGTGTCCCTACATGAAACCAGAAGCTGTGAGGGACACCTGTGGAGGTGGCAGGGACGGAGGACTGGGGGTGGGCCAGCTTGAAGTCCTGGCCTCCTTTCAACCTGACTGCCAGGCCCTGCCTCCCCGCGCAGAGCTCCCTTCCCACTCCGCGGCCCTGGGAAAGTAAACACACGTTTGTCACCCTGACAGCACAATAATGGGCGGAAACTGGGCGGAGCGGGAACACAGGCACACAATGCTCACAGCCAGGCCACCGGGCAGAGGCCACCTCCACCCACGTGGCATCACTTCCCTCCTGTGTTCCATGGGCAACCGGGGACCTACAGGGTCTATGACGCCTTTCTGGAGAGTTCTGTCAAGATAGGACTCCCAGGTTGTTGCCAGGCACCCAGATGACAGCAGGACCGAAGTCCCCACCTCCGCTTCCTGCCCCGTGTATCTGGACTCATCTGGGTGTCACCTGGTGCGAAGGTGAGGCAGCTGCTGGCCAGGATCTCAGCCGCAGCTCGGCCCCCAGTCTGCCAGGCCTCCCTGGTCAAGTGTGAGGAACCGCCAGCCTTGCTGCGAGCCCGAGTCCAGGTCATTCCTGGGCCCCCTTCCCCTTCCCACCTGCTGGCTGCTCCACTCTCCACTGCTGTGAAGCAGGCCCTGACAAGCACTCGAGACAAACGCAAGACACAAGCTGAGCCTCAGCAGCTGGAGTGCGTGTCTACACCAGCACGCTCCCTGTGCTCCGAGCGCCCTGCCTGCCCATCAGGTCTGGGGCCAGCACCCTCACGCACCTGTTAAAGAGGTTGTTGCGACGGACCATGCGCAGGAAGCCCGTGGGGTCGGTAACGGAGTTGAGTTTGTTGCTCATCTCTTCGAATTGCTGGTCCATGATGTCTCCAGCCTCGCTCTCCGTCTCGCTGCTGGCACAGGCCCTGTGGGGTCACAGAAGCAGCCGTCAGAGGGAGGCAGCGCTGTGCCCGACAGCACTCAGGTCCCACCACTCTGCCAAGAATGGCCCTCCTGGTGTCTCCTGGGACAGGCATCGCCTCTGGCCTGCTCAGGCATCGGCTGGGCACTCCTGCCAGGTAGAGCTAAGGTGAGCATGGTGGGGCGACACCCCTCCCGGCACGAGCTCAGTCCAGAAACAGTGACTAAGCATGTGGCAGGTGCCACACTGGGCACAAGGGACTGGCCTACGAGGGAGACAGCATGCCCGCAGCAGCTGCGAGGCCAGCAGGGTGGGTGCTATGTGACATGCAGGCTTCATTTCCGAGCTCCATGTGCGGGGCTGACCACTTCTGAATCCATAAATCTTGTTTCCCCATGATAGACTTCCGTGTAACGGCTCACCATGGGCTATAAATAAACAGGCCAGGCATGCAGGTTAAGGTGCTGGAGTTTGAGCCCTGGACCTGGCAGATTGAAAATCATGCCAGGCACATGCCTGCCCCAAGTGTCAAGAGGACAATGGAGGAGACGGGATTGCAGCATGGCCATCTCCCCTGGGGTGATTTCTCACTTTCTCTGTCTCTCTCTGGTGAGTACACACACCACACAACAAACTAAAAAACTCAAAAATAAACAAACATGCAGAGGTGCCTTGACTCACCAGCATGGTTAAACTGGGAAGGCTGGTTCAATGTAAAAGCCATGCCCCACGAGTCTCCACAGGGGCACGTGTTCATGGCAGTGCTGTCGGCCCACAGCCATCCTCTATCCACACCACACCTCACAGCTACAGCTGGTTCAGCAACGTACCTCCCCGTGCCATGTCTTTACCTTCCTTTGGCATTGGGATGACAATAAGACCTTTGCCGAGAAGCTAAATGCCATCAAGTTCACAGGACAACTTTTTCCAAAGCTTCCTG